TAACAGGCCCTTGTCATAGAAGGGTTAAAAACCAGAGGAGTGTTCTGCTGTCTCCTGGCAGTTCATATTCTTTGCGCTGAACTGGTCATTTCCACTGATAGTTAGTCAGAAAGAAACCCTTTTAGTTTTCTGTATACTTTCTTTAGTTTCTGAAACCCTTTTCTGTGTCGTCCTAAGACACAGCAGTATTTTGAGAGTGCATGATTAGTACTTTAAAGGAAGCCTTCCATGTTGAAAAACAAGTCCTTTGGTTACCGTAAATACAACTGAATGGGAAAAATAACTGATAAGCTAACAGAGTATGACAGTGCCTAAAATAATCCTTTTGTAGCCAAGAATCTAGCATTCAAAGTGTGATACTACAAGACATTTCAGGGCTAAAAACATGTTCTGTTCACAGGGCATTAATTGTATTTCCAGTTCTTTTCAGTAGCAAGATTTCAACACAGCTATGTTTTCAGGTCAGAGGAGGAGCACAGTCAAATTTGTCCCTTAAATCATACATCTGGGGAAGAAGCAGGGAAGCGCTTCTTTAGTGGGTGACTTTATTTTAAAATATCTGTGATTTGAAGATGCTCACAGGCTTTGTTTTGAGATTTTTAGATAAGCCCAGAAGTAGTAAGCAGTGGAAGGTGTAATAATGGTCACGCATGTGTGATAAATACAGTTTGTCACATATATCTTGTACATAGACTTTATCACCAAATGTGTTGCGCTTTTGCATTTAAGTGTATATTATGTTTAAAAAGTGTGTACATATGTGTGTTGCTTAGGGATTCTCCTGGATGAAAGTTGCTTATGTAAGTGTAAATCACTGTTTTCATTGCTGATTTTATAGCAGTAAATCCTTCCATTATTTCCTGGCTCTCCAGACCTTATGACACAGTACGTCCTGTGCTGTCATGTGTGTGAGAAGGCTTTTTACGGGGAGCAATCAGGCTGGACCCCAATCTCCAGTGTAGTGTTTTTTTTCTAGTTAAATTGTCACCGAAGGAATATCCGGAACAGCAGTTTTCATTTTCAATCGAGGAAAAAACATTATGAGTCTTTGTCATTTGATTAAAAGTTACTTAACCTTTAAATTGCTACAGACGTAAGGATAGCTCTGAGTTTCCAATGTAATCGCCTCCAAGTTAAAATCAGGAAAATCTTTGTGTAATGAAACCCATATGTCATAGTGAAAGGATGCAAAGCACTGGCAGAGTGGGCTGCTCTAGCAGGAGATTCTGCACCCAATCTTGTTAACCAGGACTGCTTTTGGTAATCCCTCATCTCTTCACTTGTAGGAAATCAATCTGTACTACTGAATCTTTTCAACTAGCAACCACAAAATTTACTGCAGAGAGGCAGCTTGGGGACAATTGTAGTAGAAAAAGAGCCCCAGGCAACAAGGCTAAATGCGGGATTGAGGGATTGAAGTTCTAAAGAGGAGATTATATTAAACCTTATTCTGTTTCCCTATCAAGTAGAAATCTCTCCTTCTCCTTTCAGCCCCAGACTTTCCTACCTAATACCTGTTCTTGAGATCTGCTTGGCAGATCTTGCCAGACAGCAAACTTAATTCATACAGTTCAGCATTCTCTGTTAATTATAATAGCTTGATACCATTTTTCAATACATTTCTCTGAAAGAGTCTATTCAAGCACTCAACTTCCATTGTAACCAGTGCTGATAACATCTTACAGTGTTTTTTCTATGGTCTTCTGTATCCTCTTCCTCCTCCCTAGTAGGTGAGATTAATTTTTATCCAAGCTATTGCGATCGTATCCTTTGTAGATTTTTCTATTGTAGTAGATGCACAGCGTAGGCAAGGTTGTAAATCGTGACTTGACATGGAGATTCATGTTTCTGTTTCCTGCTGCACAGCCTCTGTAGTGTCTGTTTGCTCGTACAATGAAACCTGCACTCAAGCCCTCTCTTCACTTGAAGTCCGTGGTTTAAGCAACTGTTTTAAAGAAAAAATCCCTAAGGTTTTCACTAGGGTTTTGTCCAACCTTTTAATTAAAAAATCCACCTCTATCTACTATGCAACTGGCTTCTGCTGGTCCCTTGGGTAGTTGCTTAAGGCAGGTTTTACCGTCTCTCTCAGACTGCAGTCATATTTAGAATGTGGGTGATGGTTTCTTCATTCACAAGCTCTTCCCTCACTTCAGCAAGCTCCAAAAGGCCCCATTGGAAATGATATTCCCATTATTAAGAATTCATTTATCAGAAGCAATACTGAGCAGAGGAGTCAGTTTAATATTGGAGGCTTTTCTGTGCAAAACCCAAGTTCAAATCATACTCTAGCGCAGATTAAAGAGGAACAAAGGGGAAGGAATAGCCAAGACGTTTGAACAGAGTACCATGTAAAATGTATTTGGCCTGTATTTACCAAGAATACTGAACTGTGGTTCTTGGGCAGATAAGAGAAGCAGCTGAAGCAGGGAAAACAAGATTGTTAATGTTTGTGGAAACTTGCCCTTAGTTTGGCTGTGATTTTTTTTTCTTTGTGATAATGAGGATGTTTTTTCCTGGCCATTTTCATACATATACAAAGATGTAAGGTCCTTTCTTTCAGTTTGGCATCATATCTGTAAAAACGAAGCCCCGATGCAAGCCTGAGTATGTGAGGAGAAGAGGAATACAGAATAGCAGAAGGCTGTCTCCTGCTCCTAATGGGATTTTGTAGCAGCATGTGCGAGTTTGTTTCAGAAGTCAGAAATGAACAGATGTTGGTATAAATTACCTCTGTGTCTGATGTCTTGCAAATTAAAAGCGCGGTTGGCATCACTAAACAATTTCACCAGGTTGGGGGGGGAAGCGGGCGGTGATTATTGTAGCAGTTCGGTAAGAATCTTTAAGCTGCAGCAGAACAGGATAGCAAGGATAAAGGAATGAAGAATAAAATGAGAGGTCTGTGAATTAATCAGAAATGTTAACATCTCCGATGACAAGTGAACAGGAGGGCACGTGCTCTGGAGCAACCCCCAACCCACAGTAATTTCACTCGGTGCACAGAAGGAGTCTATGCTCTCTGCCTGATTTATAGGGTGCAGCCCTCTTCGGGGGAACAGAATTGTCATGCATTCGTATATCTCCTATATGGGACTTGCACTCCGGAAAACTTTCCACTCTATCAACTACAGTTTGGCTTTTTGCTTTCTCCATTAAGAGTGTTTCAAAACCATGCACTGTTGATGGTGCAAGGCTGGGAGGTGTCAAAGAACTAGTGCTGAAAATCTATTCCTAGCTGAGATTTTTAAAAACTTGTGTTTTTCTTGAATCATGTTCTTTCTGCATAACAACTTAGTTCCTGACAAAATAACAATCCACTCTGCCCTTCTGCAGCACCTTCTATCCATGTGTCACTTCAGCAGCGCTTAAAAGACACAAGCTATCTTGCGGATGGGGAAGTAGAGGTACAAATGAGTACTTTTGTGGTAGTTCACGCTGTGAATCAGAAACAGAGTTGGGAATGGATCCCAGATGATATAACTCACAGCTGGAGGCATGAACTAAGTGAATAATGCAGTGATCTGCTTGAATCTGCAGCCAGTCTGAAGCATGTTCCACTCACAGTAGTGGACTCTGCAGCCTATGAATATCAATACGTACCAGATAGTTCGTAATGCCACTAATTGTTTTACAGGGATCTTGTGGATGAAGATACCTTGTGGTACCATTTTGAGTAGACAAATTAGAATGTAATAATTTAAAGAAGAGGCTTTAAGGCACATATTCTAACTTTTAGGTAAAGAATAACAAAATGTCTTTACTTGAGGGTGCATATTGAGTATTTTAAGATGAACATTTTTATTCCATTTTAGTTCTGTTCTAACAGATAATCAGTAATATCAAAAGAAAACCCAACATCAGCACCAAACCCACCTCCAGTTTTTATGCTAATTGTAATTTCTGTTGTTCCTCTCAGTAGAGAGGTCAGGAATCAAATGGATAAAACAGAAAATGAATTCCCATCTCCTTCCAGAGTCTCTGTAGTCTAGGTGTGGGAAACATGCATGCTTTCATCAGTCCTGTGAATAAAAACTTCCATATTTTGATGCCTGTCAGTCCGGCACAAAGCTTACACCTTTATTTAAAAGAAATGAAGGGAAGCACTGGTGGGAAGATTGTCTTTCTCCAGGACTCAATTGCTAATTGCGTTGTCTTTGATGCATTGTATTGTTATTGCAAGACGAAGATAGTATTAGGGCTGCTCTGCCAGCTTGTGAGCTTATGGGCTCACAAGTCAGAAATGTCTCGTGGAGGAAAGTGGCTGTGTAAACCCTGCTGTAATACAGCTACCAGAGATTGATGGTGCCAAGAGTGAGAGAGAGACATATAAACCTTGCCTTGCTGTATTAAACATCGAAGGACTGACAATGCAGAGAGAGAGAGAAGACCAAAGCTCTATAAAGTTTACTTTATTACACCATCCATAGATGAACTGCATTGAAGGAATATAAACCCCATTATGTTACAGCATCCAGGGACTGACAGTGCTGAGGGAGAGAAAATGCTGTCTAATTTCTGTTGAAGATCATAGCATCCAGGGACCAATAATCCTGAAATGGAGAAAGAGAGAGTTCCATAATCTCTGACGGATTATAACATCCCGGAACAATTGCTCTGAGATAGAGTGATGGAGATCTGGATTATGCCACTCAGAGATGGATAGTACAGAGAAAAGGAGATGCTGCGAGAGCATAATGTGGTAGGAATAGAAAGCATAGATTGTACGTGATGAGACAGCCTGTGGAAATTATTGCTGAGTTTAGAAGATTCCAGGCCCAGTTTGCATTTCTCGGAGGTCAGGAATTCAAGCTGGAATGCAGTTTTATTTATTTTCCGCTTAAAAAAAAAAGCAATAAATAAAATAATCCTTACTCACTCTTGGTATAAGCACAAATATAAATGAATTTCTTATCCTATGGTTAAAATACATAAATTACACAATTGTTTGGGTTTCTTGGCTTTTTAAAAAATATTAATCTCTTTTTCCTCCTTTGTGATTTCAGCTAGAGAAATGACTCGAGGGAAATTCCTGAACATCCTAGAGAAACCCAAAAAGTAGCTGCCGCATCTGGAGTTTGGACAAAAATACCCCAACTAGATCATTTTACGTACTGCAGATCCAGATGAACCCCAGAACTTTTAAGAAGTAGAGAACTCTTGCCCTAGACTTTCAGAAGCAAACGTCTCTTTTTGCTTCCACAGCTCATCTCTTTACAGGGGACACGTATTGCATGCACAGCTCACAAGGACTGCAGTTGGTTGCCTTGGAATTCGGACTTCATCTGACCATAAGATGTCCAACAGGAGGACTTGGCCTTGATGTGCTGTGGAAGTTACCTGTTTTAATCAGCTATTCAGAGTGAACAGCCATAGTGTCCTTATTCAGTTGCTCTCGGTGGCAGCACCTGTTTGAAGCACGCAGCAGATCTAACACTGGCCAGTGCACATCATGAGGCGTTGACCCTTTTGTGTGTCTTTTGCCTTAGATGCACTGATGTCCTCTGTGCAACTTCCACGCCGAATGATTTGAGCAGAGTTTGGGGTGTGGATTGACCAACAGCACTGGTTCCGCAGGAGCGTATGCTTTTAGTGCAGAAGTTGAGCGCAGTCTGCGCGTTAGATTCCAGTTACTCACTGCCTTCAGACAAGCATGTCTGGTACTCCAAGGAGGACCTCCAGACCACTGGTGTACCAGGAGCTTCATCTCACCGCTGAACGGTTCTCTAGTGAAATCGAGACTGACAGACCACAGGGAGTCAGAGGTGTTACTGTATCACGAAGGAAAATACCCCTAGAGAAGCCTCGGCCAGTGCAGTCCACTGCAATTCTCTGCTCCTTATAGAGCTAGAAACTGAAGAAAGTTGTAAAGCTGAAAGGCAGTAATATTTTCAGTTAGCACTCCAAGAAGGGGCAACAGGATTGTTAGCCACACTGCAAGGATGGTCTGCTTCTACAGAATCTTAACACTTCTGAAAATAACATTTTGTGATTTTTAATTACTTATAAAACAGCAATCTCAACATTTTCCTCCCCTACAAACCCACAATTTTTAAGACAATTTTCTGTGACCTGGTCTGTTTCAGCACACAGTTTTGGGCTTTATTCATCTTACAGTTTAATGTCGTTTCCTTCTGTTAATGCACTTGTGCATGTTCGCCCCTGAGAAGAGGTAAGGAGCATGTTCAGACTTATTTTATTTAAGAGAAGATTTTTTTTCGTTTCATCCTCTTTCCTTTTCCTAGAAAACAACATTTAAGCATTAGTAAATATGTTCTTTCTAGGTTACAACATAATAGTGAACATTTAGAAATGTTATTTTTAGTCGTTTCCCAGGCTGCAGTCACATGTGAGAGGGGAAATGACTTGGAAATAGGCTGTTCTTAGAGCATTGCCCTTTTCTGTCTTTGCAGAGAGAGGAGACTCTTTTCAGGTGCATGTGCAATAAAGAGGAGATTATTTTTTTTTAATCAAATAGACTTCTCTGAATTTTTACTGAACTGCTAGTGGCCTTTCGGTTTGCAGACTGTGGTCTTGAGCCTAGTTCTGACCAGTAGTAAACATTTAACCGTTTTGGACAATTCCTGTTAACCAAATTTAAGCAGTTAAAACCCACATCCCAGAAAGACCTGGCACAAATGCTGAATATTTAGGAATGTCAGGAGTCTGATTTTAAACTTAACAGATTTATATCTGTACTTCAGAGTTTATGCAGGGCTGAGCTTAATAGGATCTCCGTCCCTTGAGAACACAAGAGTTAAGGCAGATGAATGGGAAGAGAAGCTAAAAGTGGTAATTCAGAAACAGAGAAAAAACCTGTTGGTGCAAACCCATGCTGATGTAGCTTTAAGTATTAAATTTTACATTTTGAATGCATTTTTAAGTTTGTATGCTATATACGTAAGATATGTACAATATATGACATAATGGGATACTTTATCTGTATGACCAATATGGATTTGTGCATTTTATGGAGGTTCGTTGATCCAATACATGAAGAAATTGAGAGCTGAAAGGAGGAATATAGGAGAAGATATGAAAGCCTGGCATGGAAGTGTATATGTATGTATATATTTTTTTTTTCTGTTATGTTCAGTAAGGGATTTCAAACCGTAGGTAGTTTTTAGTAGCATACATGTGTTTAAAAAAAAAAAAGCCTTTTACCATATGCAGTACTTATCTTCTGTAGGGCAGCCAGTAATGTATGCTTTAGAACTGTGATATTTATTGGCTTTCTACTTGTCATCTGTAGAGATGAGTCAGTGATGTATTTTTTTATTGCTACTATTTATATGTATTTTTGTTTGTTAGCCGGAGAATTGTAATGTCTGTTAAATGTCTGTTATTGCTTTGTGGTTTGATAATAAAAAAATTCAAAGCTCAAAGATTCATCTAGGTTTCCAAAATAGCCCTCTGAGATGCAAAAGCTTTTGCCTAGCCACGTAGGCAATACTCTTCCTCAGGCTTTTCTTCACACTTCTGCATGCTACCACCTCAGGGTTTGGCCTGTGGTGCTCCATACCCATCAGTAAATAAATATTTGGCAATATCCAAATGGTACTAGGGATTTTCATACCCTTTTGAACCCTATTTTTTCCCATCAATGATGTCCTTCCTGACATCTCTGCAGTATCTATCTATACAAGAAAATCTGAGTGACTTTGTTGCTCATAACCACCTGTATATTGAAGCAACCAAAAAAAAAAAAAGTTGTGATAAATTAATTGTTGGGAATTAAGAGAGTAAGTAGATAAAGATTTGGTAATATTAATCAAGCTAATGCATTGCTTTATAAAGTGTTTTCATGTGTTGGTATGTTAAATGTTACTGTGAGGTTCTTGGAAATAAACCCAGTATGTATTTAGTTCCTTTTGAATGCCAGCATTACATATATTCAGTTGTAAAGGTGTAAAGGCTATTCACTTCAGTCTTAGAGTATCAAATGCTTTGCTGTTTAATCTAATTGAGAATAAATTCTTGTTTGTTGTATTAATTATTATCAAAATAAAAGCCTAGTTGCACTGGCAATTGAAGAGCGTAATATTCAATTTAACTCAGTGTTTTGCCATTACAAAAATAACAATTTTGGAACATTACTATAACAACAGTTCTCAACTTTGCTTTATGTTTCCCTCAACAAGTCACCTAGAAATAACACATTAGTGAAAACCGACTAACCCAACTCAGAGGTAGTGTTTGAACCTTACTCTGGTTTATCTTATTGGGTTTTATGTTACATAAAAATGTAAGGTGCTGTTACAAGTCAAATCATAAGCTCATTTTATCTGTAATCTTCTCTTTGATTATAAACAGTTGTAAACTCACAGGGAAGGGTGTAAACAAAAGGCTTCCACAGAGTGGTTTTGCTTTAGGGTAGCTTACCCAGCATCCAGCAATCTGTTTTAGTTGTATCTCGTCCACAGTAGACCCTACCCTCCATAAATTTGTCTTAGTCCTAATTTATCTGTGCGTCTGTCCTCTAAAATGCTTCTGGACAGAGAGTTCCATAATTCAGTTATACAAAGAAAAGGGTGTTTTTTTAAAAAAAAGCTGGGGGCGGGAAGGGGGAAAGTCGTTATTTTAAACCTGCTTACCTGATAATTCCATTTTGAACCTTTCATTTCTTTCATTGTCAGAAACAATTGTTTGGTTTTTTTTCTTCTTTGCTATCTGTGCATGGCTCATGATTTTTCAGCTCCTGTTGTTTTTGGTTCCATGGTTGTGTTCACCTTCTTTATGCTCACAGTGTTCAATTGTCTGTCTTCTATTACAGCCTGAGATGGCATAATCAAAATTGCAGAGTATTCAGAGTGCGAGCATACTGTGGAGGCGTGTAAGTCCTAATTGCAGCTTATATTTTGTTCTGCTGCTGTTTTCTCCCTCATCATCATGGGCTAAATCCTGTTTTGAGTACCTATAAGAACAGGATCATCACTTAGATTTGCAGTCTGTGCATGCAGCTGATTTCATCCACTTCATCTTCATCGGCAGTGACTTAGGCAACACTTTTTCCAAATCACAGTGACAGTTATGCCAGCCACTTCATGTTGAGAAGTGATATTGGGTAATTCCGTCATCAACCTGTGCAGTGTGTAAAAAAGATAAATTACATCTTTGACATGTGGTCTGAAACACGGGACTTATATCCTACCACAAGTTCAGTAACATTGCATAAACATTTCTGTAATACTTCTCAACTAATATCAACTTTTGGACATACGCAATCAAAAGAAAAAGACAACTCTTAACAGGGAAACGCGTCACGTCTTTGAGTGAGCTATCTGAATATGGCACGCAATCTTGAAACATGAAAATGATCCTTACTCTTTAATGTTGTACCCCCATTTTCAGCTACCATTCAGTACTGACACTTACTGACACTTTTTAAAAAGCCATGATATTATCAGTCTATAGAAGAAAAAGATAATTCATTGAAAGAAAATTTTCCAGAAGATCTTCTCTGTATCTTCAGCCCAGCAAAATCACGGTTGGACAGAAACTTCCAATGGACCAGCAAACTCTGAACTGAATCAATGTGATGAGAACAACAAATGTTACATGTTGTAAAAGCATTTCTGTAATCATGATAGTAAAAATGCCCCACCACAGAAATATCAAAAACTGTCGTTCCTACATGAACATCCCAGCATATACAGCTGCCAGTGTGCCAGATACTTCTAAAGATACTGTATGTGTGATGTCAAATACGCATTGCCCTGGTAAGAGGAGGAATTGAATATTTTTTTGGAAGTTAAGAAAAGGGGGAAAAAAAGGACAGAAAAAGTAAAGCAAGGAAGTGGAAAAGGAAAAGAAAAAGACTGGATCCTTTTGTTTTCATGCGATACTGAGATTCTTGGAATCAAAGCTATTCTAGAGATGTGTTATCTCTGCAAACCAGTCCTTACATCAGTGCTTTGAGTTTCTTTCAGGAGGATGTGAAATACCCATCATTTGAAGTCCACCTGAAGATATTTAAAAGCTAAAGTGGACAGAGAAGTATGGACTGATTCAGTTTCTAAAGAGCCTAATTCATATTCTGCATAGAATATGTGCAATAATGCC